ACAACGTCGAGAAGCAGGCTTCCGCCACTCTAGTTAGACCGCCGCAAGCAGCCTTTTTACTTGTTTTATTTTGAAAATTTAAAGAAAAATAAAAGGTAAAATAGTCTTTTTCCCGTACTTTTGTTAACGGCCACTAACGTAAGGGAAGTATTAGTTAATTGTCACAAACATTAGGGGTAGCATCACTTATTGAATAAACAATTAAAAATAATTCAAACTTATTAAATAAGCAGTTATTTTTAAACACTCACAAACTTATCTTAAAATTGTATAATGTTGGGAAAGAAGTAGGGATAATTGTGTGGGGACTAGATCCTGACTCGACGATCCCTGAATCCCACCCACCCACTCCATTACGCATCCAGCATCTGCTTACTTTCGTCACCACGACAAACCTAACTTGTGCCAAGTGTGTAGATAACCATTTTGCTGTTCTGTTAAAAGACTGATGAGACTCGAGACTTCCGTTGAACTCTGTTAGACAGTTTTCAATTTTGGTTTTACTCCTTTTACTTTTCTTTTTGTTCCCTTCCAATCAAAGCCATGGTAGAAAGGAAGAAGATCATCATCGATACAGATCCCGGTATCGGTAAGGACATCAGTTATTTTCACCATGTTTTTACATTTTCTATTTTCTTTTAGTAAATCGGATCACGGTACATCGATTCACAGAATCAAAGTGCTCTTGGGCAACAATATCTTTATTTTCAGGGAGATTTTTGCAAATTAGACTAGCCTAGCTAAAGATTCTGGGAATAATCGATCGAGGAGTTTTCTTTTAACTTAATTAGATTGGTTCCTGACAAATTCTTTGTGTTCTGTTGATCATTTGGATGCAAGCAGATGATGCCATGGCGATATTTTTGGCACTCCAATCTCCAGAAGTTGAGGTGATTGGACTGACAACGATATATGGGAACGTTTATACAACGTTGGCCACGAGGAACGCTTTGCATTTGGTAATTTACTGTGGCTTAGATCTTAACTGAGGTTTATGCTACCGTGTCAATATTTTGATAATGTAGAATTGTTGATTGGATTGGATTTGATTTGCTGACTTGTTTTATAGATTTGGTTGATGAGATTGATTTGGACTGCTGTTGTGAACTTGGTTTAAGTGATACTGTAAGTGGTTATGTTTCTTTTTTTTCTGGTTTAGTTGGAGATTGCAGGAAGGCAGGATATTCCAGTGGCCGAGGGATCTCATGTAACAATCACTGTACGTATTCATTTCTTACTTGACTCTTTAATGTTGTTGGCCATGGTTCCAAATTTTATATTTATCTTATTAAGTTATTATTATCCTTCTTTGTCAAGGAGGCTAGCATGTAAGTACAAAGTACATTCGGTTCCTCTTATGAGGCCCCAACTCTCAATTATTTATCATAGTTAGTGGGAAAAAACCCACATTTACCATTTGGGGAACCATGCCAGTTTATTGGAAGTTGAAGGGGCTAGAAGGGCTAGGGGTAAACCAAAAAAGACATGGGTTGAAGTAGTAAGAAATGATTTAAGTGCTCATTATTTAACATGGATATGCTATTAAACAGAATGGAATTCATGTAATTAACTTCATATAGTTGGGATAAGGCTTGTATGAGATGATGATGATGATGATGTTAGTCAAAAGAAAATTGAACTTCTTAGTTCATATGATACTCTAAAAATGGATGTCTATCCTTCGGTTGAATATGATTTCCATTCAGTCTCAACCTCATGTTTTTTTTTTTTCTTTCCTTGGGTGTCGATGCTTCTTTACCACTCTTGACTGAGGAGAAATGATAGGCTTCTAACTTTTTTTTTTTAGTTTACATGGAAACATGTTAGAAGTTATATTCTTTTCTTTTTCTATTTATTATGTTTTTGGTCAGTAATTACTTGTAATCCTTCTTTTTTTTTCTCTTTTTGTTTAATCAGGATCATTACTGTAATTTTACACATTATTATAATTACAATAAAAAAGGGCGGCAGTTGAGAAGAGAATTCAATTCGATCTCTCCTGCTTTTAGCCCTATTTTCTTCTACCTTTCTCTTCTCTTCTTCCATCTATTTCTTCTCAACCAAGAATTATTTAGGACTGATTTCACAGCCCAAGATTTTACCATTATGTCAAGCAATGGCCCTTGTTTGACAGCCATTGATTTTACCATTAGGTTTAGGGTAATTAAAATTATGCAAGAAAGCCGAATATGTAATTCCGTTGATTGAAATGTTTGACAGCCTTCCAACTTTGGGGGCGAGGGGGGAGAATAGTTTTATAGGATATAAATGCATTAGAACACATCATCATCAGTAATAGGAAAAAACTGAGTTTTTCCACTTTGGCATGTTTGGAATTTTACATACTTCAGATTGATTATGTATGGTAAGGGCAGTGTACCTGAGACCTGAGTTTTTGTACTTGCATTCACTTGCAAGATTATATCTCTAAAAGTAATAAATATATAACAAAGAGAAAGAATATATTTATCTCATATATATTCTATTGTTATCACACTCTATTAGTGGATTATACATCTCACCCACCTCACATTTGTCTACCCAACATATAAACTAATTAAGATGCTCTACTGATTCACAAGTTGAAAGATTATGGTGCATTAATTCATAGTTATCTATTTTTTTTGTAAAGAAAGGTACAAAGCTTCGCATTGCGGATTTTGTCCATGGTGCAGATGGACTTGGAAATCAAAACTTCCCTCCACCGAAAGGAAAGCCAATTGAACAGTCAGCAGCTTCTTTTCTCATTCAGCAAGCAAACTTACACCCTGGAAAAGTAACTGTGGTCGCACTTGGCCCACTTACAAATATTGCCCTGGTCAGATTCCTGATCTATTGGCATGTAATTTGAAGAAACACTAGTTTCATATTGTCTTAATGGATATTCTTTATCACTGCAGGCAATTGAACAAGATCCTGAATTTCCAAAAAAGATTGGGCAGATTGTTATACTTGGTGGTGCATTTTCAGTAAATGGGAATGTTAATCCTGCAGCAGAAGCCAATGTATGTTGTTCTATGCCCTATTGTATTTATTTTCACCATGAACTGCACGCCATCTTGATATCAATTATCATGGGTTCAACTATTTTTTTTTTTTTATTTTATGAGGAGTCAAAGTAAGAATGGAAGTTGGTTAAATTTGTAATCTGCATGTATGTTGCCATATATATAACTTACAGAGGCATTCCATTGACAAATGGTAATTTAATGAAGTTGTCACATCTAGCCAAAGACCAAGAAATATATTATCAATTAAGAGCTTATATTGTAAGCATAGAGATATAATTGTAAAGAATGATAATTTCAGGAGGGTTGTCTTACACTGCCATTATGAGCTTGTCTTACATCGCCGGTCCTAAACCCAGAGGAGGGCTGTCAGGTTGCTAGCTGGCAAAACTTTTGCCAAACTCTCATGATTATGGATCTGGATTTGTCTTTTCATGCTCATGCTAGGGTATTGGCATTTTCTAGACGCACTATGCCTTAACCCAAGTGTAATGTCAAATGGGCAAGGGTATGCTAGGATGGTCCTCAAAAGTAATCCACCACAACAGGACCTGGTTGTAGTGTTAAATGGGCAATAGTTCCCACATCCTTTTCGACAGGGGTGGGTAAAGAAGCTATTCCAAGAAACACAACTTTGTTTAGCCACTTGGAATGTAAGAACACCTGGTTATAGTGTTAAATAGGCAATAGTTCCCACATCCTTTTAGACAGGGGTGGGTAAAGAAGCTAGTCCAAGAAACACAACTTCGTTTAGCCACTTGGAATGTAAGAACATTAGCAAGAAAGACTAGAATTAGTAGACATTATGAAGAGAAGGGTTTATATTGCATGCTTACAAGAAACTAAATGGAAGGGTAAAAAAGCTAAAGAAATTGATAGTCACAAATTCTGCTACATGGGAAAAATAAATAATAGAAATGAAGTAGTGATAATAGCAAACAAGGATCTAAAAAACCAAATTGTAAATGTTAAAATAATTGGAGACAATAAAATTAGACTTGTTTTACATGAGCAAATCATTAACATAATTAGCGCTTATGGCACCTTAAGTGGGTTTGGAAGAAAGCATTATAAAACAATTTTGAGAAAACCTAGAATGATTAATCTAAGAAATACCAAATAAGAAGATGATTCTTATAGTAGGAGACCTAAACTATATCTTTTCACCATTTTTTACTCAGGTCTTTCTTTGACCTTCAAGACTTCATTTAAATGGTTATTTTACCAACTGCCCTCTTTTTTATTTATTTATTTATAGGTGTCCATTACCTTAAGGATCACATTGGATGATCAACTGGTCCTCCTGGTGTAGACTCTTTTTGATATTTCCCTATGTCAGCTTCAATGTGGTCTCATCCTTTCTATTCTTGCATTGTAATTTTCTTTTACTTTTGGAGTGGGGACAAGGTTTGTCTTTGATTTGCTTGTCTATTTCAGTAATGCTTGTCTACATCCTTATTCTTTTTCTTTTCCCCTTTTTTTCTTGTTAGTTCCTTGAAAATTAGTCAAGGAATAAAAGGAACCGAGGGGGGGGGGAAGGATTCCTCTATGTTTCTCACAGTCTGCACATGAACATGTAGAGAGTAGGGATGCAACTCGGGTTGGCCCAAATTAAAATTTTACACTGTTTCGGGCTCGGGCTTTGGGTTGGGCTTACTCAAATTTTGACAAAATCCCAACCCTAATCCACCCAAGTTGCACCCCTAACAGAGTTTTGCTCGTACAAGGTTGTTTCTCCTCCTTTATTTGCTTGTGGCTTGGGGTACCCACAGTTTTGGCAACCCTGATGCACTCTTTCTATCTTTGGTCATATTCTTTTCTTTTCCCCAGTAAGATGGTTATCTTCTGATTCTTTATATTGTTTGGTGGATTGGGATAATCAGATATTTGGCGATCCAGATTCTGCTGATATTGTGTTCACAAGTGGTGCGGACATTTTGGCTGTGGGGATAAACGTTACACATCAAGTTGTTATGACTGGTAATACTTTCTCAAATTTGAATCATCTATTGATAACATTCAAGGCCAGGACATCAATTCAACTAAAGTGTTTTGTATACTCTGTACATTCTTGTCTTCCTATTCTGTTTTAGGATGTATTTTTCTCTGTCTAGTTCTGGTGGTTGTGTTCTCTATTTAGTTGGTAGCTTTCTCTATTTATTTTTTATTTGATTGTAGTTGAACTAAACTTGTTGTACCAATGGTTCTCACCCTTCTCACGTAATAACATTTCTTGTCCTTTCTTTTTGATAATTGAAGTGTGATTTTATAACAAGATATGAAAACTATTACTGGCATCCCAAGGAGAGGCATGAGGTGCAACCTCTCCTTAAAAGAAAATTACAGATCAAACAATAGGGAATAGATTACACTGCAGCCCGGTACAAATTTTCCCTTTTAACCCCTTGTTTGGCAAGACAATCAGCCAAGGCATTCACCGATAATAGTTTTGTCCTCTGTTACTGATAAAAGAATACCATTGATATTTTTTATATGTGCAAGTACTCATTTATACCATGGTTCATATATAAAATGGTAAAACATCTCCCTATTGATTAATATGAATGGATTTGGTTAATAGTTTTGGGTGCTGGTGCTTCCAAAGACTTGATGACTGAAGAGACTCCCACTTGCCAAAACTGCTTATACAGCTTATTTATATATAGGTCATCAATGCCAATCTTTATCACTGGATTACTATTTCCAGTGTTAAGACCACATGACATGGTTCATTTCTATAATAGTAAGCAAAGTAAAAAGTGTATACTCTTTTTCTTACTGTTCAAAACATGCATATACTATTATTTCATAAGTGCTGCCAAAGACTTGGTGTATTTCTATAATGCTGGTTTAATGAATGGGGTTTAGGGTTAGGAACATTGTATTTAGAAACATTGCTTTGCTATGTAAATGGTTATGGAGATTCCTCTTTGAGAGAGAAAGGCTGTGGCATAATGTAATAGTAAGATTCATGGGCTGGAAAGTAATGGTTGGAATGCTAAAGTTGCTCTCCACTCCTCAATATGTCCTTGGAAGATGGGAGAGTTCGTGGAGGTAGGCCGTTGGAAAAAATCCTTGAAGATTGAAGCAAAGGAGTTTCTATTTGAGGAGTAGAAATTAAATGGTCAGCTGAGCTTGAAAATCAGGGAAGCAAAGAAAGGGATGGTGCTGTTAGAAGGTTTGGGGGTGATTGAAGGGTTCAAGGAGTTTGTGGAAGATGCAAGTAACAAAGGCAAACAAAATAGTTGGAAAGAGTTTCTCTCAGAAACTGGAAGGTTTGTAGTAGAGTGTAATAGAAACACCAAAGGCTTTTTCATTTATTTGACAGAATTTTTTGGCAAGGGTAGGAAGCAGATGGTCTACTTCCCAGAGGGAAGGAAAAGTCAGGGCTGGAAGGCAGTTCATGGGGTATTATGTGAACTGCTACAACGGTTGGGTGCTAAAAGAGAAGTAACAGAAAAAAGGAAGATAAGCAGTTCTACTAGTTTGGAGAGCAATAATAAGCAAGAGACTCTTATAGTGACAGATGGGGCAGGTAAACACAGAATGGGAGTAAACATACAGAGAGGAGATTGGGAAAGTAAACTGATAGTTAAAGCTTCAGCTCACATTCTAGATTGGAGGAAAGTTGCAGATTTGTTAACAGCAAGCTTGAAGTTGAAGAATACATTTATTTTAACACCCTTTGAGAAAGACAAGGCTTTGCTGGACTTGCTTGAGAATAGAGTAGAAGTTAATGCTCTAAATATCCAAGCTGAACTTGGGAAACTCACATTATCAAGATGGTGTCCGGGATCAAACTCCAAAGATTTCTTTGTTGAAGATGGAGTGCTGGTGCGTCTCTTAGGCCTTCCTTTTCACTTGTGGAAGCAAGAAACTGCTGAAGCCATTGCTCTGATGTGTGGAGGATCTCTAGGAGGTGTTTTTTGGGGAGACCTCTTCTCAGCTTCCATTTTATTGAATGAAGTAAAACCTGAGGAGATTAGAGGTGTGACTGTGCGAGTTGAAGGACAATTTTACTCAGTGTGGCTGGCTTCATCCATTGAATCTGTGCTTTGGAAAGAGGCTCGTAGGGAGGGAGATGAGAAGGTTGAAGAAGAAGAACTGCGTGGCAGTAAAGGATTGGATGGTTCAAACAAGAATAGCACTTTTACTAAAATGGAAAAACAAGTGCTGGAGAAACAAAAAGGTAGAATTCAGGGGGAGGGTCTTATGCGTGTAGAAGCAATAAACAGTCTAGAGGGCGGCAGGTCCTTTGCACAGGTGGTAACTGGCGCCAATATGCCTATTTTAAACAAGGAGAAGGTGTTGGTTCAGGGAAGAACCGAACCTAGGCTTGATAAAACCAAACCGGGCCTTGGGCTGAACGTGCATGACCTTTTTAAAAGTCACGTGAAGCCGCAGATATTTAAGAAAGGGACAAGTGATAAGCCAAAGCCCATGTTGAAAGGCCAAGTGGGCTTTGAGCGCTTTAAAGAAGGCCCTAAAATTTCAGGGGCAGAGGCTTTAGTTGGGCCCACAAAAATCAGGCCCACCTATGGCGGGTAAGACAGGAAGCCCAGTTTAGAGGCCCAACCCAAAAGGTCATGACTTAAAAAGGCACGTGACCAACCATGTGCCTTCGATAGATGGTAATTACTATCTATCTTCTTCTTCGAGTGCAACGAACCGTGCAACAGGGAGCTTGAACTCGGCGCGCTATGGAGCTTCGAAACAGTGGGTTCCGGCAATAAGATTAGAGCAGTCATTGCCTGAAAAACGCTATCCAAGGTGTATTAAACGAAGGGAGTTAGAGGAAAGAAAGAGGGAGCTCTCTCAGTTTGAAGTTTTTAGCGATTCTGAATCGGATGATTCTGAAAGTCTGGGCAGCATCGATCTTAGCAGATCAAAGGATATTTCTGAAGAAGATAACCTTGGAACGGAAGTATTGTTCCTGGAGGAGGAGGGAGGTGATTATCAGAGTTTTGAGGGAGGCTTGAAGATTTCGATGGAACGGCAGAAGACAGCTACGGTTGGGACTCAGATTCTGTCTACACTGGCAAGGGAGATTAACTCCTTAGCGTAGGAAGAACAGGTTATGTGTTTGGAAAGGAAAGACTCTACCGGACTGCTCTGTGATGTATCGCCTATAGCCAGACAGCAGTGGAAGACTAACTCAGATGCGGAAGTTGACAAGTTGCTGATCTCCTATGATAATTCTTCTAAGCAGATCAGACCTCAGGAGACAGATTTAGACTTATATCTCGATGCCGGTTCTGACCCCCTGAAAGAGTTTCATTTGGCTCCTAACAATGAAGGTACTCTTGTCAATTCGGTTTTTGTTACTGATGCTCTTCCTGTGGTTGAAACAGATACGCCAGCATCCCGAGAGGAAGCTTTAAGTGAGGATGAAAACAGAGAGCTTAGCATTGGTGAAGGTGAGAGGAGAGAGGGAGAGGTTGAGGTTAAGAAGAAGCGGGAGGAAGAGTTAGAAAAAATATGGGAGCAAATTTGTGCGTTATTGGAAGAGTATAAAGCAAAGGAGGAGGGGTTAGATGGTAGGGAACCTGATGCAACTCCTCAGAATAAGGAGAGTAACAGAAGTTCTAGGCTGGGGGGGAGTGAGTAAAGGCAATGGGTTGGCTCAAAAGTTAGAGGGGAATGTTAGAAGGAAGAAGAAAAAGAGATTAGAAGTGGAGAGACTGTTGTCAAATATAGAAGGTGATATCGAGTTTAGTGGAAGGGGAGAGAAGGAAGGGTTCTTTGTGAGATGGAACCGGGTCCGTAAGGGGTGTTTGAAAGGAGTTTTATTATGAAAATCATTAGTTGGAATGTGAGAGGGTTAGGGAGTGCAAGAAGGAGAAGGGCAATCAAAGACCTGCTGAGGAGAGAAAAGCCTGATATAGTCATGTTATAGGAAACTAAGTTGGCAGATTTGGATAGAAGATGGGTCAGGAGTGTGTGGAAATCAAGAAGAGTGTGCTGGACTTTAGCTCCCTCATGGGGAGCCTCGGGAGGGACAGTGACCTTGTGGAGAGAGGATGTTGTAGAATCTGTGGAAGAACTTATAGGGAGATCTCTCTGTCTTTAAAATTCAGAAATGTAGAAGATGGATTCATTTGGATGTTAACTAATGTCTATGGGCCAAATAGTTATTAGGGAAAGGAAGAAAATGTTGGAGGAGTTGTATGGAATTCAAGGCTTGTGGGATGACCCATGGTGTTTGGAGGGGATTTCAATGTAATAAGGTTTTGTAATGAATCAAATAACCCCCAAAGATCAATTACTACAAGTATGACAAATTTCAATGAATTAATTAACACCTGTGGGCTAAAGGAATTACCCTTTCTACAAGCTAACTTTACTTGGTCAAATTTCCAAGAAAACCCCCTTTGTTCCAAACTTGATAGATTTCTTTTTAATGTAAAGTGGGAGAATCATTGGAGGAATTTGGTGGCTAAAACCCTTCCTAGAGTTACATCTGATCACTGCCCTATACTATTAGGTCAAGATATTCTAGGCTTTGGCCCTCGACCCTTTAGGTTTGGGAACATGTGGCTAACTCATCTGGATTTTGAACGAAAGGTTGGTGAGTGGTGGAATGAAGATTTGAGAGGGGTTAAGTGGAAAGGTGTAAGGTTTCACAAAAAAGTTGAAGAGACTAAGAGCAAGGATTAAAGAGTGGAATCGGGAGCATTTTGGAAGGGTAGAAGATCAAAAGAATATTTTGATGTCTAGGATTGATGAACTAGACTCCAAAGAATCCCAGGGAGTTATGAATGAGCAAGAAAGGTTTTTGAGAAGTAGGTTAAAAAAGGAATTGGAAGAAGTTCTCCTTAGAGAAGAGATCTCATGGAGGCAAAAGCCAAGACAAAAATGGATCAAAGAAGGGGACGACAATACCAAATTTTTCAATGCGTTGGCTAATGGGAAGAGAAGAAAAAATTGTGTGGCCAAATTAGAAGTGGATGAGGAGGAAGTCACAAATCAAGATGAGATAGCAAAAGTATTGGTGGATCATTTCAAATCAATTGCAGGGAAGCCTCTGAATAATAAACTAAGGCTGGAAGGTCTAGATTGGCCCAAGCTGTCTGAAGAGCAAGCAAAATGGTTAGAGAGGAGTTTTGAAGAAGAGGAAATTAGGCATGCAGTGTTTTCAATGGATAGATCCAAAGCCCCTGGACCAGATGGCTTCATCATGGATTTCTATCAAGACTATTGGAATGTGGTAAGAGAAGACCTTTGTGCTATGATTAAGGAATTTGAAGTTAATGGCAAAGTAAGCCATGGAGTTAATGCCACTTTCATAGCTCTAATCCCTAAGAAGAAAGATGCAAAAAGCCCTAAAGATTTTAGGCCGATTAGTTTGGTGACTAGCATTTACAAAATCCTGGCTAAAGTGTTATCCTTGAGGATTAAAGTAGTGCTACCCTCCATCATTAGTCAAGCCCAGGGAGCTTTCGTGCAAGGGAGACAAATAACAGATCAGATTCTAATAGCGAATGAATGCGTGGAGGATATGAGAAAGTCCGGAAAGCAAGGTTTTGTTTGTAAGCTGGATTTACAAAAGGCCTATGATCTTGTGGATTGGAGCTTCTTATTAGAGGTCCTAGGGTGTTGTGGGTTTGGAGTCAGATGGTGTAATTGGATAAAGGGATGCATAAGTTCTTGCCACTTTTCGGTCTTGGTTAATGGGGTAGTCAAGGATTTTTTCCCAACTTTTAGAGGGTTAAGGCAAGGTGACCCCCTTTCCCCTTTTCTTTTTACCCTAGTTGTAGATGTTTTTAGTAGTTTGATCTCCAAGGCAGACAGGGAAGGTGTAGTGAGAGGTTGGAGGATAGGAAGGAACGGGATTAGGGTGACCCATTTACAGTTTGTTGATGACCTAATAATCCTTTGTGAAGGGGGTGATAGGAGGACAGTAAGTAATCTCAAATCTTTGATAAAGCGCTTTGAGAGAGTATCAAATCTGAAAATAAACTTGGAAAAGAGTTGTGTGGTGGGAGTGAATCTGGAGGAGAGGACTCTTGAGTCGGTGGCTAAGTCTTTAGGTTGTCCTATTTACTATTGGCCTTTATAGTATTTAGGTCTTCCTCTAAGAGCCAACCCTAAGGAGAGCACATTTTGGGCCCCGGTTTTAGAAAAGTTTGAGAAAAGGTTAGCCTCGTGGAAAAGGAACTATATTTCTTCAGGGGGTAGAGTTACTTTATTGAGAGCTTCCTTAGCAAATCTGTCGATTTATTATTTCTCTGTGTTTAGGATTCCTGTCAGGGAAGCCAAGAAATTAGAAAAATTAATGAGAAATTTTCTTTGGGAGCCAGGGGAGAAAAAAAAAGGATCACTTAATAAATTGGGGAATAGTGTGTAGGAGGAAAGAGGAAGGTGGATTGGGACTGGGGAATTTAGTTTTGAAGAATAAAGCACTCCTAGGAAAATGGTTGTGGAGATGGCCCTTAGAACATGAGAGACTTTGGCATGAGGTGATAGATAGTATACATAGTAGTTTGGGAAATGGATGGGATGCTGGTGTATCGTGTCGAGCCACTCTGGCAACTCCTTGGAAAGCAATTCAAAGTATTCTTCCTCTTTTCCTCAACTGTATCAGGTATGATGTCAATTCTGGTACTTCTGTTTTGTTCTGGGAAGACATCTGGGTGGGCAATTCTGCCCTTAAGGACTGTTTCCCTTCTCTCTATTCCATTTCTTGCTACAAGGGTAAACCAATCTCTCACTTTCTTCCAACATCTGATTCTCCATATTCTTTGAGTTGGGACTTTGGGTTTCGTTAGGGGTTTGAGGGATCATGAACTCTCTTATGTTTCAGACCTGTTGTCACTACTTGAAAGTGTTTTTCTGGACCTTTCCAGTTCTGATGTGAGACTTTGGTTTCCAAACCCAAAAGGTTACTTTACATGTGCTTCCTTTTTAAGTCGCTTTGCTCTCCCTCGGGACAAGTGGGTTTCCCAACTAAGGAGATTTGGTCTAAACCTGCACCTCCTAAAATTATTATGTTCTGGGAGGTGTTCTATAGGAAAACCAACACTTCAGACTTATTGCAGAAGAGAAGACCTTCTATGTGTTTGTCTCCTAATTGGTGTGTACTTTGCAGGGCTAATGGTGAGGATTGCTCTCACTTACTTTTAACCTGTCATTTTTCTGTTGTTATTTGGGGTTGTATCTATGCTTTGTTTGGTTGTAGATGGAATTTGACCACAGCCATAGATCAGATCTTTGATCCTTCCTTCTTTGTGTGGCCCACAAAAACTGGTAAAACAATGTGGAGGAGCATTAGAGCTGCTGCTTTGTGGACAATTTGGGAAGAAAGAAATGCAAGGATATTCCAAGAGAAGGAGAGAAATGTTCAGAATGTAAAGGATTGCATTATGACCAGGGCAATCCATTTGCTGATATCATCAGATTCCTTCAAAGTATATTCCTTTGATGACATGTGGAGGAACTGGATGGCTGTGTCTTGTAGCAGTAACAGAAAGAACAGGGTACCAGATGTGTGGGTACCCCCTTCAGAAGACTGGACAAAGCTGAAGGTATTGAGAGATAAAGATAGTAATATTTTAGCTTTATTCTGAAGCTCTGTGCGTATAGGAGACTCTATTAGAGTTGAGCTTCTAGCGGCAGTACAAGGCATTCAGATTGCGGACCAGTTAGGAGTTCAAAATTTGATTATTGAAGGAGATTCCAAAGTTGTTGTGGGTTGGCTAAAAAATCCAGATTCAGTGATCTGGTGCTACAGGGATATTATGAGGAAAGCTAAATGGTTCTCAAGGAACATGAATGTTATTTTTCAGTGGGTGGGTAGAACAGTTAACACCATAGCGGATGGGTTAGCTAAACAAGGGGTATCATGGGAATGTTTATTCTGGGCAGCTTTGTAAACTTTTTGTTACTAGTCTGAGGTAGTACATTGTTGTTGTTGTGGAGAGGCACCAGCTCATGCCCCTCCTTTGGGTAGGCTGTATTGTAACATCTTATTGAATTTCTTGAATAAAATTTCAATCATTTATCAAAAAAAAAGTCTACTCAATCTTTCTTAACTCTATTAGGTATGATGTGGGAAGGGGTGACAAAATACGTTTTTGGGAAGATCTACGGTTGAAGGCAATTCCACCCAAAGACCAATTCCCTAAACTCTTTTCCCTTAACCCCATTCTCTCAATTTAGAAGGGGGTTAAGGGAAAACGAGTTAAAGCTTTAAAGCAGGCTTCTTTGTGATATCCACCCACTTAAAGCTTTAAAGCAGGCTTCTTTGGACTCTTCCCTTGAGGATAGGGATGCAAACGGATCGGATCAGATTCGAATCATGGTATATCTGAATCCGATCCAAGCAGATCTGGTTGGATATCACAAACATGGATTTGAATTCAAATCTGATGAGGAAGTCAGACATTTGAATCTGATCCAATCTGATTTAATTTTTTAAAATTAATAAATTATTAAAAGAAAAATAAAATATAACAATTTAAATAAAGAAAAACAAAAAAATACAAGTACCTTTTCAACTTTTTTCATCATATATATACATGTTTTTTATAAGAAAATAAATAATATAACAAATTTGCAAAAATGCAATATACATAATATATTTATAAATAAATAACATATATATATCGGATCGGGTAGGGGTGATCCAAATTCAATCTGATTTCTGATCGGATCCTATTATCTGATCCAAAGATCCAAAATGGGGATATCCGAATCTAACAAAATGGAATCGGATCTGTAGGTAGCCTCTTTACTTTCTCCTCCTTTAAATCCCTTACCTCGTCTAATATTTAAGGGGTGGACTTCATAGTGAAAGAAATTTGGAGTAAGCCTATATAGCTTTCTATTGGGAATATTTCTTGATAAGGTGGACACTTGTGATATGTTGCAAAAAAGAAGGCTTTTTATTTGCCTATCTCCTCACATGTGCTTCTTTTAAAGGGGTAGTGGCAAGACACTATATCATGTAGCAAGGTGCCAACCAGCTGGTTGGTAAGGTCTCCTGCTGGTTGTAGCAGAGACTTGGGATTGAATCCCACCTGCACCTGGTTTGGGGGATGGGCTACCCCCCATTGTGTAGCCCTTCAGAAGACATCAAAAAAGGACATTATATTATGTACTAATCTCTTGTCCTTTTGTGCATAGAATTTGGGAGTTTGTTAGTTCTCTTCGGGTGTAGGTGCCCCCCAGATGTGGCAGGTCTTTTCAACCCTAACCTCTTGAGGCAACCAAAGAAAAGGGGGAAAGTGCTTTGGAAAGCCACTAAGGCAGCAATTTTCTGGGTAGTGTCTAGTGTGGGAAGAGAGGAATAATAGAATCTTCTTGTAAAATAGTAGGAATCTAGAGGAGGTGATAGACAGTATAAAAATAAAGGTAGCAATATGGACAAAGACCTTAGACATCTTCAAAACCTTCTCAGTAATTGATTTCTTCAGGGCCTGACTGAAATAGAATAGTCATCAAGAGCAAAAGATAGAGTGAGGATGGATTGGAAACCCCCAGAAGGCAACAAAGTAAAATTGAATTTTGATGGGAGCTCTCTTGGTAACCCAGGTATGGATGGAGTAGGAGGGGTTATTAGAAATTCCAAGATGAGAATCTTGGTTCTGTTCTCAGAACCAATTGGCTTGGGAAATTCTTTGAAGGATGAATGGTTGGCTTTATTGCAAGGCCACAAGTTGGCTAAACAGATAGGATTTAGAATGATTGAGGTGAAAGGAGATTCACAAGTAGTGGTGATCATGAAAAACCGACCCGAACCGACAAGACCAAACCGAAAGTTCCGGTTAACCAAACAGATCAGTTTGGTTTCAATTAACCAATATAAAAAACCAGCAGTTAGCCAAGCTGACCGGTATACATATATTTATATACATAGTTGTCAAGGCGACGCCTAGGCGACAAGGCGCCCTTGGAGGCTCACCTCACCTAGTCGCCTAGCAGTTTTGTATACTGTCTTATAAAATACTTTTATATTGTTACTTTTTTGAGATTATAATTATAAAATAGACATTATTAAACAAAAATATTCATTTTTTGTGTTTATAAATTAATTTCTTTTTAGTATTTTCTTATTTGTTAGGGTTTAATCAACACAAACATTGCTAACTGCTGTATTGAACCCTCAAAGACTTCAGAATTTGAACCAATAAGTAAGGGAAAAACTTAAAGTTTTGTCTAATCAACGCATTTCTTCCTCCACTTCTTCTTCTTCTTCTTCTTCTTCTTCTTCTTCTTCCACCTTTTCTTTTCTTCTTTTCCTATAACAAAAATAGGGGTTCAGTCCACATTTTTTGAATTTTCTTTTCTTTCTTTTTTTTTTCTTCTCATTAATATGTTGATTTTCTAGACATAAACATGAAGTTTATAATTTTCTTATGAAAATTATGGATAGTTATTAAGGAAAGATTGTTATGGAACCTAGGGAACTACCTAGGATATGTATTTCTCACTTAAAAAAATCTATCGCGTAGGCGACTAGGCGACAAGGCGCCCCCTGTCGCCTAGCCTCGCCTTGGCGCCTTGAAAACTATGTATATATATACGTATGTATGTATATTATATATTTATATTTATTTATAATATATCTCATAAAAATCAAGAAACCGAAAATTCAACGAACCGACTCGTGAGCAACCCTACTCACAAGTAGTTATATCTTGGGCTAAATCCAACAGCCATATTCCTTGGTCCCTTCAGCATGTGCTAAGGGAAGTGGACAAGATTGCAAAAAAATAGTGGTTAAATTTAAGTGTGTTAGAAGGTGTGCAAAATGGTTTAGTTGACTCCCTAGCTAAACAAGGAGTTATGAGGCAATAATTGTTTTGGGCATCCATGTAATTTGGGGTTGCAAGTAGGGATTGACACTTTGGTCAAAAAAGTTGTATTAATCATTTATACATTCCAAATATTATAATAAAATCATTTTTCTGCTGATCAATAAAAAAAGAAAGGGAGATGAAAGGCCAAAGGGTTTTTTAGTGTCAAGACAAAAGTTCTGCCTTTTGCACTATGATAGCATTCCACTCAAGGGAACTTGTATAAAACATGTTAAAATTATATCACATATTAAATACCTCAGAAAATTTGTAGGAATGTTAAAATACCTACAAGAAACTATTAAAAAATAACATTCAAATTTAACAACAAACATACCAGTATTTTGCATCCTAGTATTCCTAGAAAACAAAAAATGAGATTGATTATTCCTTTTTTTACACTGACCATGGAATTTATTATCACTTCACATCAAAAGTCGATGTATCTAAATGTCTATGCACATGAATTCAAATCCATAGTCCTTCAAAAGCCATATTTCAAGATATTTTCCTTTATTGTGTTATGTTTTTTGTAATTTTCCTAAAGGGGTTGCTTGATCTACAAACTAGATTTCTTTGCTCTAAAACCTTAACTGTTACCATGAAAATTCATGTTTACTGTCTTCTTTAGCAAAAGTTACTTTCGTTCTGCAACTTTACTTCTCATACCTTCTTTATTCTTTTCCTTATTTTTGTGTGTCCTTGTTTTTTTGGGAAAAACACTTCAAGATTATGCTTTCATACAAGTGAAGCTATATATGTCTTTTTAGATCTGTGCTGTTTCGAATTTTATAACATTTGTTTTTCATCAAAAGGAAATCATTACATGTACCACACATGCTGCAGATGCTGATCGGGACAAGCTTTCCCAGTCCAGTGGAAAATATGCACAGTACTTGTGCAAGATATTAGATGTTTACTTCTCATATCACCATGATTCATATCATACAAAAGGTTAGTCAAGTACAGTGTTTGAGTTGATTGTTTTAGACCACAGTTGGTGGAAAGCTCATCTTCATTGAATATGGTGATGGTTATGTTCAACTTGATGCAGGTGTATACCTTCATGATCCTACAGCCCTTCTTGCAGCCGTTAACCCATCATTGCTCACTTATATTGAGGGTGTAGTAAGAGTCCAGACAAATGGCATCATGAGGGGCCTCACAATTTTTTATAACACAAAGAAAAAGTAATATTCTTTTATCCTTTTGAATCTAACCTCACTGAAACATGTGCATTGTTGGCATAATCAGAAAATCTGATTGAAGTTTTATGAATAGGAAAGCAATGGCACTTTGAACAGTAAGAAAAAGAGTATATGCATGTTTTGGTGTTGTAATGTCTGCTTAATGATAATTATGATGAATCTCCAATCTCATAGTTTAGTTCTGCATTACAGAAAAGATCAAAGTAAAAAGCCATTGTTGCATCAGTTATTCTTGTTTTTTTTCCTATCAATTTTGTTGGATTAATTATTGTGACAATAATTTGATGACACCTGGATTACTATTAGAGGCCGTATTCATAAAAGACAAGTATCTTTATCCAAATGTCATATGCAGCAAGTAATCTATGAACTTAACTATTTTTTTGGATAAAATAATATTTGATCTTATATATTTATTTATTTCTGTTTATGTGTTCCCAGCTGTTACCTGAAAAATAAATACATCTATGATGTCATGTTTCTAAAATTATTTGGTTAATGACAGCATGTGTATGACATGTGTACAAGTAAATTGGGGACAAGGTACATGTGATCATGTTGCACAACTTGAACCAGACCATGAAAACCAGGAACCAGTTGTCATTCCAGTTTTTAAGAAACCAGTTTTTCAAATTTCTAAAACACTGGATGACCCATTAGAAACCCATGAGAACCATTAGGTGTGTGTTTGGCACAAATACATTTCACAAGCATTCCATTTAACCAACTTACCACGGCATTTAACCACATTTGACAAAACCATTTTTTTGGAAAAATGTTGCTGCAATAATTATGCCTTGGTTTCGTGAGAGGGGGTCTTTTGAATTGTCAAAGTGACGTTTCTGGAATCACCAATTTGGTATGGCACATTGAAATTTGAAAAAGCTGACAGCTTCTCTTGCCGCCATACCCCCCTATTATAATGACAATATTTTAAAAATAAAGCCAAAGCTCTTTAAATGCACAATCAGCATGCATCTCCACCAAAATGGATTTTTTGTGTTTTTCAAAATATAAAAGACAATGCATAATCAGGGGGCAACATTCCTGATCTTGGTGAAACGGAATGCTTGTGGAACACCCCGTAATACTGTCTGTGCTTCAACAACCCAACCAGTTCTCAATGACCCTCCCAGGTCACTATTTTATCACAACTCATAAAATGACAATGAATGGTAAGATTTAAACCTATGACATCTCCTTTATATCAAGTGACATCACCATTGATCCATCATGCCACTTGTGTTTGTTTTTGTTTCTACATATATGTTGGTCAAATATGTATTTATGTTTTTGACGAAAACATCATTTGAAAGACTTAAACCCTGGTCAATTTGTATTTCAAGCCAAGAAGAAAGCCCTCTGACTACAACTTACACATATACTATTACATACATCATAATATTTTATATTTTATACACACACACACACACACACACATATATATATATATATATATAGCATGTCCAAAAAATGAGTGGTAGAAAGTAATGCTGGATGAGTGGTCAAACTAGAAAGGACAGGGTTAGAAATGAAGTCATACAAAGGAACCTAGGAATAACTCCAGTAGGTGGTAAAATGAAAGAAGGTAGACTGAGATGGTTTAGTCAATGTGCATAGAAGACCATCTACAGAAACTGTTAAGAAAGGTGATTTGTTACAAGTTGAAGGGGCTAAACAGACCAAAAATGACTTGGGTGGAAGTGATAAGAAAAGATTTAAGCACCCATAATTTAATGATGGATATGGCACTGAACAGAATGGAATGGCAAAACAGGATTCATGTAGCCAACCCTGTATAGTTGTGACAAGGCTTAGATGATGATGATGATGACATCATGGGTTATGGGTTGCCCTAGCAGTTGGACTGTTTGAATCATGACTTTATAGCATTTATGGTTTTGTGAATGGTCCAAGTCTTAAAACATTACATGTGATGAATTATATTTTGTGTAGATAAAGTCAGCATGTATCCCAAACATGAATGCAAGCCAACATCATAGGGGAAGACCAGTGTTTTAAAAGGTGCTGGAGGTGTACACCTAGAGGCATGCCTCCAGGTGAGCGTGCTAAGAAAATGCATGGAGACACATAGGAGAGGTGTATGCCTCTGATGCTGTTTTAGAAGGCGATGTTTAATCTTAAGGACAAATGTGTTTTTCATCAATAAAAGTATAGCAAAGTAGGGAGGATAGCCCCTGTTAAATGTGTTTTTGAACTTGAGAGTTCTCTGATTAACTATACTTGTAATTTGATTTTGACATCATGACTACCAAGCCCTTGTATCTTGCTGACTTGCTTGCTCTACTTTTTTTACTACATAAACCAGATTTGGCGAAGTCTCAGAGTGGTGCAACAAGCCCACTGTTAAAGTAGCTGTCACTGTTGATGCTCCTGCAGTTGTTGAGTTGATCATGGAACGGCTTATGAACTCCTAGAAATGGAACTAGGAATTGGTGTGCACTGTCCTGCATTGAAGAAAAAAAACCTGCTATAGTAGTCACCGGTCCTGCATTCTATATCATGTTCATACTTATCTGATGTTGGTCAATGGATCAGTTCAATCCTCAATTGCATCAATACCGCATCAGTACATAGTTGGGCTGCAATAAGTAGATATTACATTTGATGTTGAAGCTTCAGATGTTTTGGGTTTTTCAGTTCAAGCAACTAACCATTTTAACTTGTTCTGGTGTTTGTTTCTACATACCATCTTTGTTTTAACTTGCAACATATTGAAATTGTCTCCTAAGAATTTGCAATTGGCCTACCTAGAAAGAAACTCTGCTGATTATTTCAGTTTATACCAGAACCAATAGGAAGCTGTTTAGATCTGTAGAAGCATAGGAAGTGTCTGGATAGAAGGATACAGAGTTGTAGGTTCCCACATAATGGTTTTATTTCTAAACTCAGAAGATTGGTCCATGCTTTTGCATTTTATCGTTGACATTCTTGGAAGACACATAACATGTGTGAACCATCTGCATCACCCATGTTTTGCCATTCATTTTGTATCGACTATTTCCTGGTACATGATTACTTTTACAATTTGCATTGTTGAGTGGCCGGAAGAAAAAGCTGTTTCGTTTATAAGAAACAACCTTCTATTGTAACCATGGATCAATCGATTTTTTTCGCTCCTTGATTAACCAAATTTTGTTGTATTTAGGAGTGTCAATTGGACTGGATTTGGTCCAATCCGATCCAGTCCAATGCGAGTCCATTACAATTGGACCTGGTCCAATCCAGTCCAATGAATATTTTAAGACCATTTTGGACTGGTCCAGTTCAATGTCTGGACTTTCTAATCTGTTCAAATTCATGTTAATTTAGATTGGTTCCAACTCAAACCTCGTCCATTGACACCTGTGTTCTTATCTTTTATCAATGGACCAGATATTGGTTCAATCCAATTTAAATTCATTATGGACGGACCATGTTCAATCCAATATGTCATTAGTCTGTCCAATCCGTTCAAATTCAATGTCTTAATTGATTTTAATTTGAATGAAATCTAACCCAAAACTGGTCCATTGACACCTTGGTTGTATTACCATTTCTTTTTCCATTTTGTCAAAGTCGAAAGGAAGAACAAACTAGAAGGATCTTTCAAGATTGAGGAGCTCGTCTTGTTTCTGGGAGGTTGGCTCAATTAAACAAAGTAACGTTGTTGGATGACAGTTTTGAGCCATGTCATTGAAGCAATAGTTTCGTTGTAGGGTGTGTGCGTTTAAGGGTTGCTTTGCTTCCATTCGTACGATTGACATCGTTGTTGCTCATTAATGCATCGCTTGGTTAGATCAGAGGTGTAGGTCGGAGGGACCCTAGATTGAGGGACGCATGGTATTGATCAAATCAAAGTGACATATTGGTGGCGAACCAATCTAAGCCGTTGAGGAGCTTTTATAACAAGGGGTACCGAGCGATTTGGACTTTGCCATTTGCTTCTAGAGCTTGGATAAATGAAGAAAGGTTGTCTGGAGATCAGCTCAATGCTAGTTGGTGCTCATTAACATTTAGGAGGCCAGTATGTCCTTGTCCAATTCCCGTTCGAGCTCAGCAACAGAACTGGCTACTAACCAAAGCAGCTCATGAGGTTTCTTTCGAAGTCAAGGCCGAGTTTGAGAGACTGGTGACGGATGAGGATCCCGAGGCTGGCTGCTCCCGTGTTGGAGGCGAGCCCAAGGCCAAGGACAAGGACGTTAAGGTGGACATACTCGGCCTGTTTGAGAACGAGGCCAAGGAGTTGCCCGAGGAAAGTGCTTAGCTCATCAAGAGTGCCTTGATGTAGGAATACATGGAAAAGATCTAGTGATAATACAATATACCCGAGTTTGAGATGAAGGCAATGAGGAGCAGGCCTGCCAGGCCCCTATGGGCTGGCTATGTATTGTTGTTAGGACTGTTAATGGGTCTACATTATTATCTTTTTTTTTTCTGTTAAGTTGTAATTAGGGATATTCTTGTAATTCTCCTTTTATTTTAAACATCCCAGTATAAAAGTCAAGAAGGGTGTCGCCCTTAACATCTTTTGGCAAAATATTCTTCTCTTTCTACTTCATTTTTCTCTTCTCTTCTTCCTCTTCCATTCCAACTAGTATCATAGCATGTTTGATAGCAGTTTGGGGCTCAATTAGATTTCATTTCTCTTCTCCCTCTCTGTTCTCTCTGGATAAGGCTGAAGTTTTTTTTTAAATTTGAGAAGGATCTAATTAGGTAGGAGT